GTCGATCGGATCACAAATGACATTCCCGTTTACATCTGGTATTTTAATCCATCTCTTTTGTCCACTTTCAACGACTTTTGTCCTGATTTCTTCGGTGGGTAAATGTATGGGTTTTTGTTCATCAGATCTTTCGATCTAATTAACAAAATAAGCTCATGCAATGTACAGAAAAACATAAGGAGAATTAACTGCAGCTTTAATTTCTGCTCTGAAAGCTGCCAGAACTACAACGAGCGCTGTGAGTGTGTGTTAGAAATCAGGAATGGTGAGAGAACATTGTGTTTGGTACGTTTTTCATCTTCAAACCAAACTTGGGTCTCTGGCCATGTTTAAATCCTGTCTGGCTAGAGCGCTACCCATAATGTTTACACATTAGGTCAGTAGACGGTCTTTTGTGGCTGTTTGAACACATTTGACCACATGAGCGGTTACAATACAAACGCAACCTGGTCAAATGTGTTTTCCACTACCTCTGGAAGTGGGCGAAAAGTAGACCAGCTCAAAGTGGTTTAGAGGCCTTTTTTTAGTAAATCAAGTTAAACTGAATGAAAATGAGAAATTTTTAAATAAGCTTAAAAAAAAGTAAAAAAAAAAAAAGGTTTTATATATTTTATTGGTGACACTGGTTAACTACGTTAGCATGAACCATATTTGAATGAACAATATTTCTTCAGCATTTATTAGTTAATATTATTTATAACATTAACATAATATATTATTAAAAATCAAAGGTTGCATAAGTTAATGCACTGTGAGCTAAGATGAACAAACAATGAACAAAAATGAATAATTACTGCAACAGCTGTTTTTATCATTGTTAGTTCATGTTAATTAATTAACTAACATACCTTATTGTGTTGCCATTTTATTTCAGTTTATGTTCATTTTATTTTTATGGTTTCAGTTTTAGCACGGTACTTTAATTAAACACACACTTGCAATCAAACTAATACTTGTTAGAGATTATTTACATATAGTAAATCTACAAATGATAATGTCAGATGGGTTGTGGAATTAAGTAGTTCTTGATAGACTTTTCATGACAAACTTGTGAAGCAGAAGAACAATGCAACACTTTGGGTTGTATTGCAAGATTGTAACATATGATAACATATCAAGGAAATTGCACCCATCTTCACATGCACACACAGGGTGGTTGTGGACTGATGAGAGATAGTAAGGAGGTACCTGGCACTGGCTGAAAAGGTATGGCTGTTTCTTCCCAGCAGTCTGTTTGGGGGACAGCCACTGCAGCGCTGTGGCACTAGGAGACGTCTCATATTCAATCTCCACAATCACATGCTGGCCACTGAAACACACACGCACAGATAATTGCAATACAACTTAAAACAAAGAAGGAAAACTTTGCAATTAATTTAATAGGGCTGTCAAAGTTAATATGATAACATTTAAGATTAATTATATACATTTTTAGACTAATAAACAGTAATTGGCTGCAGGAAGTTGCGGCAAGCTAATTGCAAATCCCTGTATATACATTTGATACACTAAATTAATTCTTTGCATTTTTTGTATAACTATAATATCATTTTATTTAAATATTAATTACATAATAATTCAATATTTTTTTGTTGTTGTCAGATTTAGCAAAGTACTACGTGCATTTGCATGCAAGTTTAAAGCCGCATTTATGTTGGCAGTGAAAATTATATCAGAAATAACTTTACAGAACAAGTTTGTGGGTCTACCGGGACAGTTTAAAAGGCAGGGTGATCTCCAAAGGGGATCCTTTAAATTTATGCTGGGCCCCCAATGCAAACTGTGCAGCCTGGCCATTTGCAGAAACCTTAAAGATCTTCAGGTTCGCTGAGTCCAGAGTCTAGAAAGATAGCGAGAGAGAGAGAGAGAGAGAGAACAGAATGTATGCCTTTATCTGTTAAAACAATATGACATTTAATGATATAATAACACAAACTGTTCATTTACTTTCTGCTTACAAAACACCTGAATAGTATATCTGCCTACTATAAAGACTGAAAGGATATAGTTTACAGAATATTTCAGCAAATTGTCATGCCTTTCGGCATTTGATAGTAGATATTATACTGTGCATGTCACATCTTGTTAAAACAAGCAGACTGAAAGGATATAGTTGCCTTTCAGTGTGCATGCTTTTTGGGATTTAATTAAACAAGCCATGGACATCCATTTCTCATATTAGGTTGCATTGCACAACCCTGAAATGCAAAATCCATGAAAATTACATAGTAGTTCAGTTTATATTTATCTGAAAGCTTCTGACAAGTTGCACCTGTCTGTCAAGCTCAGATAAAAAGTCCATCAATGTGATCTGACAGCTCCTGAAATCAAAGTTCAGCCTGGTGAGGTGCAGTAAACCAGGTACACAGTCCGTGACTTAATACACACCTCATTAATGAAGAGATATTTGACAGAATTGGTAATATGACCACCAAACCATATGAACATGCATTTACAGAAAATGATGGTTGAAATAATGTATCAAATTCATAAACAAGAAACTTTGAATGCAAGTCATCAGGTTACGTGACGGATATCATAATTACCGTATCAAGTTCAGGTAAATATGTAACCTAGTCTGATCTACTGTTACTGTACGACAGGCAGTATGGACATGCATCGCTAAATAACTAGTATCTATTTGATATTCCACTTAATCAGAATGAATCAAAACAACAAATACATAATAAAATCATACAGCACACACTGAATCTTACTCATGCAGATGTGTGGATGTGATTTGCCGTGATTAATTCAAGCAAACAGAATCAAATGAAAACTGTAAGTTACCAGAGAAGAGAATTTATCCTCCAGAACTTCCACAGTCAGGGCGACTTTCCCTTTGAGCACATGCCTGTCAAAGTCAACATGGTAAATGAGATTTAAGTGCTTGGTAGAGCACTTGGAGATAGAGGAGAACGAGCTGGGGTCTGAAACAGGAGTCATGGCTGAGACAGAGAACAGTCTGCTCGCGCTGTCTCTAGAGTTTTAACCATAGACAGTCACGTGATACCGGCCGGTGAAACTGCATTATTGGAGTTGTAGTTTTATGTCCTGCTCTGCAAGAACGATTAACTACTGTCCTCTAGCGGCTGAGGGTGTTTGTACAACTTAAAAAAAAAACAACAAAAAAAAAACATTGATGTCGTGATGTATTACATGTATTACATTGATGATGTATTACATGTATACGTATGGTGGATTTTTTAATACGTAAAAAAGGGGGGGGGGGGGCTTAGGTAAGACTTTATTTTATAGTGTCCTTGTTACACGTTACATACAGTTACTGCAGTGATAACTACAAATTACGTATAATTACATGCAACTAATCCCAAAACAAACTCCAATCCTAACCCTAACCATATATTTATATATTGCTTTATTAACTGTTAAGATCAAAGACTGTAAAAAAAAAAAAAAAAAAAAGGCCGTCGTTTTTGTAATGACGTGTGCATGCACTTGTTGTAATGTCTTCATCCTCCACTAGATGGCACATTATGAACAGACATTTTAAAAACTAGATACTTGCTAAGATCATAATTGTTTTCATATGCCTCTTAAAATCTCATGTACGAATATCTCAAGTGGACAGCTTCAGGCCTATTGATTAATATCGGCACTCAGCTAAATTAAAGCATCAGTTAAAAAACAGATTCGTACTAAATAATTGAAAGTAGAGGTTAATAGACTGTGTGTGTGTGTGTGTGTGTGTGTGTGTGTGTGTGTGTGTGTGTGTGTGTGTGTGTGTGTGTGTGTGTGTGTGTGTGTGTGTGTGTGTGTGTGTGTGTGTGTGTGTGTGTGTGTGTGTGTGTGTGTGTGTGTGTGTGTGTCTATGTTTTGAAGGATCCGGCTTCCTGTCAGTGGATATCCCTCCAGGAAATCGAAAGATGGTTCCACCCCTCTGTGGAGCCCCATGCCACTCATTTACACACACACACACACACACACACACACACACACACACACACACACACACGCACACACACAGAGAGAGAGAGAGAGAGAGAGAGAGAGAGAGAGAGAGAGAGAGAGAGAGAGAGAGAGAGAGAGAGAGAGATTTATTTGTTGTGCAGATATACTGTTTACTTTTACAGTCATATGCATTTCATACACTTTATATGCTACTATTCCTTATTTGCACATCATGCTGCAGTTCATGTCTTTTGTTATGCCAATAAAGCATAGCATACTTTGCAACTGATATTTATTTATTTTGTTTGCTTGTTTTTTTTCTAACGTCTCCATGCTGTATAAACAAATATGCTTATGTTAATGCAAACTATACAAAAGAGTGGATATTTGTGGGGAAATAAACTTACTGCTTTTTGGGAAAGTGGGCTGACAGTACAATTTGTAACCCATTTACTGTTCTGCAGACATAATCGTATCCCCAGGCCAGCTACATATTAAAAGATATTAATTGTTAAGTAAATAATAATAATAATAATAATAATAAAAGATGTAAAACTTTAACACGTTTTTGTCTGAGAGTATTTTTAAAGTACAATAAATATTTGGAAATCACTATTTGAAAAGGATAAAACCACCGATTTTATAAAATGACTTATATATTCTCTTTAAGAATTTATATTTAGTTTTGAGCACATTTTCTAGCAATTTGATCCAAAAGAATCAGACACACAAGTTGTGTTTTCATGTTTTATGGGGACTTGCTTTTTTCCCCTTTCCACTAACCCTATAGCCCTAAACCTGCGATCACAGAAAAACGTTCTGCTTTTTTGCATTTTCAAAAAACAGTACTTAATATGATTTATAAGCTGTTTTTTTCTCATGTGGACCAATACAATGTCTCCATAATGACAAGGATTTCGGAAATTGCCATTTTGTCCCCATAGTGTAGGGTTTACCAGGCCCCCCACACACACACACATACACACACAAAATGTGTGTGGAGGAAGGAACACGGGCTCCTCCCGGCGGGTCCCGGGCAGGAAGAGAATGACGTCAGTGTGCTCAGCTCTCGGCAGATTCAGGTTACAGTATCCTGCGTGTGCGCGCATCCGCGTCCGCGCGTGTGTGCTCGTGTTCTTGAATGTCGGATAGTGGCTGGAGTAGGAAAAGCGTGTTTACACAGACGGGCCGAGCGCCTGGGGAATAGCGCACGGCGAGAGGAAGTGAGCCGGCTCGCTGTCTGCCTGCACCAACTTCCTGCTCAGAGAGAGAGAGAGAAAGAGAGAGAGAGAGAAAACAGTCGGGATCCCATTACAGTCCGACTGAGAGCTGCCGAGACGGCCGACAGCATGGAAAAACAGCGCATTATACGGAATTCTTTTTAATAAAGTGAAAAAGGACCACAAAAAGCCCGACCATTACGCACAGGTATGTGGATAATCCATCCAAACTATCTGAATGTTTTATAAATGTATAATTACTTCACAATAACAATAAAAAGAAGAAACCTTCCAAAGTACAGGACTGAAACTTGATATCCTCAAAAAATAATGAACTCATCCAAAAGAAGGAGCTGTTTGATAGGTTCAGAAGTGATGTTTAAGACTTAAATGTATACAAGTGAAAGAAATGTGATCTCTTTTATCGCACAAGACACTTCAAGTGTCCACCGTTCCCGTTACTTACGCGCAGTTTACGCACGGCTTATGAGGGGTTGAATACCTGTTGAGCTCACGAGTTCATGATGTTTATTTCTAACATTTTGTTGGTCGTACATTTGAAAGCAGGGCTGTTAGAAAGGGCTGAATTTTGCCTGCTGGCGCTTTAAACACACTAGTAGAGTTTCTGGTTTGTCTGGAAACAGCAGCAGACTAATTGCCATGCGCTTCCGGATTGAAACTGGCAGCAGACAGCATCTTGAAAATGAGTCATTGGGGCAAACAAAGAAACTTCAGTTCAGCCCTATACAGCTGATGTTACCCCTGCATCTGGATATGCTGAGGGTGATCGATGTTTGTGATCGCAAAAAGTCTCAGGGCACGTACTAAGCAAGCATTGCATTAGATAGCAGATGATGCTTTCCTCAGAACTAACCCAAGATGTCATCAAGTTCACCGCGGGTTATGAACTAACATATTCAACAACCAGAGAGTGTCCAAATACTGATACTTGGACTCTTGTTCATTTCAACTAAGATTTTTTGCTTTAATAGTTTGCTTTTGTCATCTTTCTTTCAAATGAATGCCACTTTCGAGGCCATTTCCTTGTGTTTTGGAGTTTTGGATACAGTCACTGTCACACTGTGTGTAAAGTTCCTCCTATCTACTTCCTGTATGGTTAGATTGGTAGATTTGCAGTTATGCAGGTTTTGGTGTCTTCGTTTAAAAAAGAGTCATGTGATAAGGTAATTAGTAGGACTATATCAGTATTTTAGCATAATTAAACTTACGATTTCTGTACTTTCCCTGTTTAAAAGAGGAACCATCATTTCCATCAAACTTCCAATTATGCAAGAAGAAAACCCTGTCTAATAGTTTGCTATTAAATACACTGCCATATTTAGTGTCCACACTCTTTCTGGAGCCACTATTTGGACACAGTCGCACACAGCCAGACATTCTCAGCTCGGTCTGCGTAATTTCAAGAGCTGCAGTTCTCTCTGGAGAAATGTGGTCGTGGAGAGAAGTCCTTCACGGCTCTCTTTTCTCCCTCTCTTTAGCAAAAGCTCCCTGAATTTTCCACTGCAGTCTGTGTGCGCAGGAAGAGCGCGCATTTAGTCATGGCGAAGTAATGTCTGCGCACACCAACTAATCTCATTACGAGTTTCCGCTGGCGCTACAGTGGAGGGGTTTGTGAGCGCGACGGCAAGTTTGGTGTTTAAAAGCTGTCTAGGGGCCATTCAAAACACCGTGCTTGCAAACGGTCTGTTGCACGAGTCTTGAAAGCTGTGAGCGTGTCACTTTGTGCTGGAGAGAGTCCACCTTCTCATCGTCTCCTCACCTCCTCATTCTCCTCCCATACACACACACACACACACACCGGCAATGTGTGAAAGTTTAAAAAACAGTAAATGCTGCCTGATAAGCCACTGATTGACTAGGCTGTTGCCTTCTGCTTCAGACACTCTGTGTGTTATATATCTACAGCCTCCTAATTCCTGGATGGTTAGATGGGTTGGTTAGATTTAAAGGTGTTTCCATTGACTCTTCGAGCTTCAGTGCTGTGAAAAGTAAACGGTCTGTTCTGTTGTGTTGAAAACAAACTATTGCTTGATGCTGCTTTCATTTTCAGCCATCTAGAAAAAAAGGTCCTGCTGTAGGCTACATTGAAAATATGACTTGTTTTGCACACAATTTATTTGAAAAATTACTTTGCGACATAATATTAAATAAAGTGCGAGTGTAAATCTAAAGTTAGCAGGAGTTGCGATAGTCCTTTCTTCCCTATAGAATGTATATTCAAGTGAAACAGCTTCTCGAAACAAGAAAAAATGTAGACTGTCCATTGGGAATTGCGTTGGATGATTGTGGTTTGCTATTGGTCGATCTCATGTGAGTGACAGGTTGTCCCGCCCTCCTCATCAAAAAAGAGATAGGGAAGGGATGAATGTTTTGAAATAAATATTTGATAACTCATTTATAAATAGGCTACTACAATATTCCATTAAAAATAGCAATTGTCAATTTTGATTTCGTGGTGACTTTAAAATATTTCATCAACTTGCAAGTAGTTGCATTTAAAATGATAAAAATAAGTAACATTTAAATTAACAATGAATATTACACTGAAGAGGCTCTAAAAACAAACTACAACTGCTTTAAATTTTTGGTACAGAAAACACAATTATGCTAAAAATCAATGGATAATCTTTGAGCAGCAGAAAATGAACTCGAGTTGCATAAACTGCTAAAAGTTAGTCATCTAATTTCTTCACTTGGAGACTGATCCTAACTTTTTAAAATCATTTATATAAGATTGGTCTAATTTAAATCCGAAAAGTGAGACAGATTACAGTAACTCTTCTCTAACTGCTTTTTTCCAATGTATTTCCTGAGTCCTATTGCATGAGGTCAAAAATGCGAGAGCTTGTCCATGGCATCTAAGCATTTAATGTAGTAAAACAGTGTGTTTTCTTACTGATGTGTAGGCCCAGATGGTATCTGTGGACTTGTTCACATTTTCTGCACCATTTGATTGGGGGGGGTCAAACAAAACTGAGGCCACGTTTGCACTGCTGGTCATAATGCCCAATTCCAATTTGTTGACTACATGCAATATAAAACTGACCATATCCGATATCTGCATTTACACTGTACACTTGGTGAAACAAGCCAAGGTATACGCACTGAGCCAGAAAGGCTTAGGTCGAAAAGGAAGTAAAAACGATGCGATCGATCACCAATTTACACGGATCCACGTAAGCAACTTAAAACTGTATTATTCATGCCAGGCCAGTAGTTGGCGATGTCACTTTGCAAAGAAACACTATCCTCCTATAGACTGAATGTGCATGACGTCACCATTTTCACAAATTCTTGTTTTTGTAGTTTACATGGAGACAGTAACAGTGTAAAAAACTTGCACTTTGAACTTGCACAAAAGTTAGCATTTTCAGGCCCCTAAAACGGCATTGTCGTGTGTAAATGAACGGAATTATCAAAATGTTTCATTGACGAACATGATTTGCATGGGGATGTGTAGAAGTTTGTGAAAGAATCCAATATGTATGATTCATTTATTTCATGAAATATGTAGCCTTAAACCTAATGACCATGAAGTTGATGCATGCCAGACAGTGGCATAACAACAGAGCCAAGGCAGTGCAGTCACACTATGTTTGAGTGTGTGTTTTTTGTCTTATATTTATTTGTGTGTCAGGAGGTCTCGCACCCTTTCTACATGCCTAAACGCATTTTTTTCACCAAACTGTCTTCTGGCTAAGGATTCAAACTTTGCTTCTGCGTGGTTTATTTCATTGCTCACATTGAAAGACGGATAAAGAGACCAAAACTCCAGATTTGCACATGCAAATCACATTTGTACACAGCAACTGTGCTTAAAAGGGAGACATTTTTTCCCCTCTTGCAATAATCTAACAATGACTTTTACAGCCACGTTCCACGCAGGCACTTCTCCAAACGGCCTAGAGCTTTTGAAATCAGCCTCTTGTGTTTATTCCCTTTGATTAGGGCAGTAAATCTAGGAATCCATGAGTCCGTTCTTCAGGATCTCACATGCGATGTGTCAGTCTGATATGGGCGAGAGCACAAAAAGAGAAGAGGAAACCTCCCATTTGTGCCTTGTGTCCGTGTGGTCCCCGCGTTCCTGTGTTTGCTCCCCGCAGCAGGAATTCCTACCTTTCAGCTCGGGATCGGCATTCCCAGGAAGACGCCCTTCAAAGGAGAATTGGAGGAAGTCCTGATATAGACAGTTTTACGGTCGTTTAACGCAGATGCTCCGCTCAGAGGATGCTGGAGCAGGAAATGGTTTCATTTCGCTTCTTTGGGAGTTTGGAAAAAAAGGAATGGGCGACAGTATGTGGCGTACGATGAGCTTTTAAGTGTGGACTGGAGTACGAGATCAAAATGTCAATTGCTGTATGTATAATGAGATCTGTGTCACATATGTAGAGGAGTAATGAATGAGTGAGTGTATATACATGTGTGTACCACTGCACAGTACTTCCTGATTAATATCTGATACTGAATTGGCAGCGTTTTTCGAGCACTTCCTCCTTTGTCACCACAGGTTTGGTCAAAACATGCTGTTTGTGCCTTTACACACACTCTAGCTGATATTCCAATCAAAAGCATCTGAAAAGACTAAATTTAAAGTCTTTTAAAGCAAACATGAAATCAAAATGGAATTTACTTTCTTAGGTTCAGTGTTAAAAATGACAGTGTGAACGCTAAGCAAACCAGGACTAAATGTATCATTTTCTTTTTTTTTTGGTCCAGATTGATTTTAGCCTCTCCTGTTTGATTTCTCATTATTTCACCAATCCCGTGATGACTTCCAGAGCCGTCAGTTTGATGAGCGAAAATCAGGGTGAAAGTTTATGCTTGTTCGTCTTTGTCAAAATTATGACAAAGACTTTCCCAAAATAAGGCTTTCTGCAACCAGGGAGTTCCTCTTGGCCAATAAAACATTCTCCGTGTCAGAGCTTTCCACACTAGTGAGTCAGCCAGCATCATTTCTCAATCTAGCGCTTCGTCTCGTCCGTTCCCTCCATCCATCCATAGACCTTATTCAGAGCAGCGCCATGACAGGTATGAAAGTGAGGCTGTGAGGGATAGACTTACGGTGTTTCCAATGGCATCCGCTGTAAAAAGCGGAATAAAGCTCCTAGATTACTTACAATTTTCCACAGCTTACATTGTCAGGAGTTTTTTGTCAACTGACATTTCTTTGAAAGATATTTTTCCAGTGTTTCATGAGCAGAACAATCCGAAAACACATTAAATAACAATACAGCCCATTGAAGAGATGCAAGTCTATCCCTCACAGCCTCGCTTTCATTCTCATTAAAAATCAAAGATGGCGCTGCCGTGAATAAGGCGTATTGCTCCGTCTCAGGAGCTCTGGCTCAGACAGCAGGAGGGCCACAGTAAATCCGACCCGCCCTGTTTGACGGACTTACAGTTGTCAAAGGGTATGATGTGACGCTAGTTAAAACTGAGAAGTGTGTTTAAACTCACTCACACACACATTTGACTAATTTGAATTCTAGTCAAACTGGTTTCCGACGGATGTCAGACCTCAACCTGATGTCCTTTCTGTCCTCCACCCAGGTCTTCCTGCACTCTGGCCCTCTCCTGCACTGAAAATAAGAAGAAAAAATAGGCAGAAACTCAACAATACAATTAGTTTACACAAGATATGTCACCTATAAATGTCTGTGGTCATTTATTCACCCTCGTGTTATTATGATATAAAGACAGTTAACATTCTTTCCTCTATGAAACACAAAATGAAACAATATGATTGAAAGCATAAATATCTATTGAAACTACTTAACTCATATATAAATCTTTTGATGGAAATAAATATTGTGATGTTATTTCCATCAAGAGGTGGATACATTTGTGGTCTAGATCTTGTATTGACAATGCAAGGGTTCAGCACTGAGTAAAGTCTCTTCCACCACATCCAAAAGACTTGCAATGAACTTCCAACAATTCTTTCGCAATTTGAGCCTGGTGAATCTTGACATTGTCATCCTGGAATATGACCACAATGTGTCTTTCTACATGGTTGTCGAAGAAATTAAAATATCTAAACTGCACCAATCAGGCTTCGAATAACTGTTGCCAATAACATAAAACATGATAGAAACATAACAATCACAGCAATAATGATCCAATCATAGAATATGCCTATTTAAATCCAAACAGCTACTTTTTTTGCCCAGGCAGTGTATATTATAAAATTATTTTATTTTTTGTTTTGTCAAAAAATATGTTTCAGCCCCTGCTCAAAGTGTACTGACTGTAAAAAATATTTTCAAGATTTGTTATCACAACATATTTTCTTTGTCAAATCAACGTTATAATAATTTATTTAGTTGAGATGACTTATTATTTTGAGTTTCTGATGGTTAAATTAATCTACTTCATTGTATTAACTCACTTTTTCCAGTTCAATCAACTTAAAATTTTAAGGCAACCCAGGTTACTTACTTTTTAAGTTAAACCAACAATATTTTTTTTTTACAGTGTGGTTTTGTAATGGATATATAGTGGAATTGAAATATTTCCCAAAATGTAACTAGTGACAAAGAGCACAAGGTTATGAGCAAACTAATATTAAGTGTGTGACGACAGCATTCGCAGGAAGCGGCCCGAGCAAGATTTAAACTTCCTGTTCTGTTGGGCTTTTAACATTGAGCCACTTCCTGTTGGAGTCAATCCCAGACCACATGCATGAAGCAACTCACTCCTGTTTACTTGAAAGTCCTTATCTTACACCCAATGGATCCACTTCCACATTGACTTTAACGTTGTCTAAATTAGAGTGCTGTAAAAAAATTATTATTTTTCTTTTAGAAATATCAATGATCCAAGAAGTGTAGTGGAGTAAAATTTAACATCACTCAAATCATGTTAACTCTGCATATGTCTAAGGTTTCTTGAAGGAATAAGAGTTGATATCTTTATGCACATCCTGTTTCGTGATATCGCAGCTTCCTGTTTGTGTCCAACCTCAGCGCCACAGTGTAAAGAACACTTTTAGGCAGTTTTCTGCTCTGAAATCCATTCACAAAAACTGGATCATCTAACTATCCTTATCTGCAACATGGGCGGCCATCCAATGTGTAAAGATTGAGTATGTGCATCTTTGCATGTCGTACTTTTTTCAGTATCAAGGTCTGATAATGACGGTTTGGGTGATTGTTTAATGATTCAGCAGCAGATAATATAAAGGGAAGTGTTTAACTTCACGTTTTTTCCCTATGTCATTCTGGGTCAGCCGGTATTTTGATAAAACATATACTACCATTCGAAAGTTTACGTTTTTTTTTTTTTTTTTTTTATGTTTTTGAAAGAAGTCTCTTATGCTCAGCTCAACATGGCTGTAATATTATGAAATATTATTACAATTTAAGTTGTTTTTAATGTACTATATTTTAAAATGTAATTTATTCCTGTTATGGAAAAGCTGAATTTTCAGCATCTTGTGATCAGTGTCACATGATCCTTCAGAAATCATTCTAATATGTTGATTGGCTGCTCAAGAAACTTTTATTTGGTAACGCTTTAGATTACAGCCCAGACTGTGTAATTAAGAGGAATTTACACTGTAACTTTCTGTAATTATAGTGTACCTATAAAGTACTTACATGTAAGTATAAGGGAATAATATGTAAAGTTTGGGGAATAAAGGGGTAACAGAATTAAAAAATATATTTATACTGTAAGTTTTAAAGAACTAAGGGGTGCTTATTCTACTATTAAAATACAACAATCTTACATTTGGGAGCAATTTAGCGAAAACATTCACTGCGTACCGTTTAGTAGCAATGACCTACATAAAGTATAGGCTTTTTAAAAAATGACAGGGTACATCTATGCATTTATTAAAAATAATAATAATAATAATTTGATTGCAAAAGTGCAGATGTTTATGTTTGGGCTAACATGTTTCAAGGCAAGAAAAGCTAAGACTATTGCAATTTTTTTAAAATATACTTGGAAATATATCTGGTTTCATGTGAGGGTAACAAGCACCACTACATGAAACAAGAGTATCTTTCCCCAATATTTAAGCAAAAGTTGCAATAGTTTTCATTTTCAGTGCACTTTTGTTATCAAGATTACTTTATAAATGCATATACTGTATATGTACCCTGTAATTTTTAAAAAGCCTGCACACTGTTTCACCATTATTTCAAAAAGGTATGTTCTCCCAAATATAAGATTGTTATATCATAAACAGTAGAATAAGTTCCCCATAGTTCAATAATACTTACAGTATAAATATTTGTTTAATTCTCCTGGTTGTTAACGCTTTATTCCCCAAACTTAAAATATTGTTCCCTTATACTTATATTGTAAGTACGTCATCGGTACACTATAATTACCGAAGGTTGCGCTGTAAAATTGCTTCAATTATGCATTCCTTTCCGGGCTGTAATCTAAAGCGTTACCCATTTATTTTGTGTAAACTGCGATAAACATTTTAGCAGCTTTTAAAAATATGTTCAGTCTTGTGAACTTTTAAGCAGTAGTGAAACTTATAAAACTGATTTTTTTTATTTTTGGGTGACCTATATGTTTAAAAATTCCCTTAATGCTTGTAGGTTTTTGAACTATGTTGTGCCCCCTTATCACTACCTGGTCCCTTTAATCGATGTTCATAAACAGGGTTTTGTGGACAAACTCCATGTTTGCCTTGTTAGTAATCTCTGTTCACGAGTGGGTGTATTTGCCTGCCTTTGAATGGACACCTCCATCCCAAAGAGGGACGGTCGATGCTGGAACATGTTGCTTGTTTGCGAGCCATTCCTGTGTCAGTCTTTCTGTCTGATAGCCCTTTGTTGTTTATGGGCCTGAGCGTTAATGTACAACAGAACAGGAAATGCTTGCTGAGTTTGTGGGAGGGCACCCAGGAATGACGTTTTTTGTTCATGCGAGAGATGAAGAGCGCAGAGGGAAAAGGGGAAATTAAAGGGAGAGGATGGATTCAGGAGCACGAACGCGCGTTCTTTAATGTGGCTGGATTTATACGACTGATGCTCCGGTCTCTCCCATTTCACCACTTCCTGCGAGAAACCTGCATGGATGGTTAAAGGAAAGTTTTTACATAGCAAACGCAATCATTCCTAGAAGGATGTCTGATTATCAGATCAAGGCGCCCGTCCGTACACATCCAGACATGAACTAAATGTGGCTTTGCAGTACCACAAGATCTCCCTTCAGATAATCAAACCTAGGGTCATTTAAAAACGTCCTCACGCCACCTTTTCTTGACCAATAAGCAAGCAATGCAAGCAGAGTGTAATCTTGGCTAATTTTAATTAGATAGACACTTAATGAAATTACACCACACTATCACCACGTTCACATTGCTTTAAATCCATACCGGGGAAAAAAAACAGCATTGTTACTAAATCTAGCGTGCAAAAAATTTGAGGTGCTCAACTGCTCCAAAACTTTGAATACCTAAATTTAGGCAAAATTTTTAGGCAAGGTAGCAAGACATCAAGCTGGGTTTTGTGTCAGCCTGATCATGATTATTAAAATGTAAATATACTGTTGATATTAATAATGTGACTTCTCTGCTCTAACAGATATGGAGAGTGCCATCACGCTGTGGCAGTTTCTGCTGCAGCTGCTGCTGGACCAGAGCCATAAGCACCTGATCTGCTGGACGTCCAATGACGGCGAGTTCAAGCTGCTCAAATCGGAAGAAGTCGCCAAACTTTGGGGCCTACGCAAAAACAAGACCAACATGAACTACGACAAACTTAGCCGAGCACTACGCTACTACTATGACAAGGTTACACAAGCTCACATTTCACAAATGAAAGCGTCTTTCAGGCGTCTAACCAATGATAATCAATCCGATCTCATGAGAAAACTTAACTTACGTGATATTATATAATGTAATTCGTACAGAATTGTATCATTTTTATAAGAAAATTAAGCATTCAAGTCCACCCCTTAAAGGAGTAGTTCACTTTTAAAAAAAACTTTTGCTGATAATTTACTCACCCACGTGTCATCCAAGATGTCCACGTGTTTCTTTCTTCAGTTGAAAAGAAATTAAGGTTTTTGATGAGAACATTCCAGGATTTCCTCCATATAATAGACTTCAATGGGAACCAAACGGTTCAAGGTCCAAATGAGAGTTTCAGTGCAGCTTCAAAGAGCTTTAAACGACACCAGACGATGAATAAGGGTCTTATCTAGCGAAACAATCGGCCATTTAAAAAATGAATAAAAAAAGTTTACGTTTTATAAGCACAAATGCTCTTCTTGCTCTGTTCTGTGACGCTCGTTCGCGACTCGAACTCGTTCATCAAAATGAACAAATCTTTTTTTGAGTCATTTGGTTCATTCAATGAACAATAAACACACATCTTGGATGACATGGGGGTGAGTAAATTTTAACCTTACAGTAAGTGGGGCAGATCGTACTAAAACGTATGACTGAGATGAGATCGTACGAATTGGCCACCAAATGTAAAATAGTTACAAATTGCAATGAGAGTTTGTTGTAATCATCCTCTTTCTCTTGCAGAATATCATAAAGAAGGTGATTGGTCAAAAGTTCGTGTACAAGTTCGTCTCATTCCCTGATATTCTGAAGATGGATCCGCAAGCAGTGGAGCTCGGTCGGGACGGGGGTCACGTCGCAGGGGGCGTCATGTTACAGGAGGTGGAGTCTGACGGTGAGGGGGAGGAGTCTCCGAAGCTGTCGCTGTCGTCGCTGAGAAGTCCCGTCTGTAGGAACGAGTATCTTCACTCTGGTCTGTACTCGTCCTTCACAGTCAGTTCCCTCCAAAGCCCGCCGCTGCTGCGTCCAATCAAAACCGAGAAGCAGCGAGGTGGCGAACGAGAGGAGGAGGGACAAACAGTGATTCGGTTTGTCACTAATCGATCAGAGAAGGTCGTTCCCCTTGCATCCTCCCCACCACCTGCATCCGCGGATGTTTTCTTCACTTCGAAATCCTCCCCCTGCTCATCCCGCAGCCCCTCCCCCACTCATAGCCCTGTCTATATGCTGCGGCAGGGGCGGAGCCCGGAGGTTCGCATAGACGAATCAGAGCAGATCGCTCAGCCTCTAAATTTATCATCCGGCCACCGGGAGCGAGCCCAGAATCAGGCCACGCCTCCCGAGAGGAGGACCGGTAACAACGGACTGCCTCCCAAAGCTCGGAAACCCAAAGGGCTGGAAATCTCCGCCCCTTCCATATTGCTTTCAGGAAGTGACTTGGGCTCCATCGCCCTCAACAGCCCAGCACTGCCCTCAGGGTCCCTCACGCCAGCCTTTTTCACTGCACAGGTATCAAACTATGTCACATGTTCTTGTATTTGTATGTTCACACAGCCTAACACACACATCTGTTCCAAAACCCAATGAGCTGCCTTTCTAGACAGCGTTTTAATGCATGAAAGCAAAAGTCGTTTCCAAAACATGGGCAAAATACACAGTGACTTCTTTTGGATAATAGCTGATAAGCCCAGAATGCATTGCAACAAATGTACACAACTATGTATTTAAAATATTATAATTTTATGCATTTAGCTTCCCAGATAGCAAACTGACATTGAATCAACGTGGAAACATGACATCGAAACAACGCGTCATTCTTTCAAAACTAACGGAAAATCAACTTGAAATCAACGTTGTTTCAACGTTATGAAAGCAAACCAATTTTCGATTTTCATTTGCTAGCTTTGAAGCTTTGAAGAATGAACCAACGTCTGAAGTTGGTTCAACGTTAATTCGATGAGCAAAATCAACGTTGTTTCGATGTCATGAGAGACGTCGTTTCCACGTTGATTCAATGTCAGTTTGCTGTCTGGGTTAGCAACATGCACATGTAAACCGCTATCGTAATCAATAAAAGGCAAGGTAAGCTCTGTGACAAAACTAAAACTAATACTAATAATATGCTAATTTAAATGAAAAGTAGACATTTTTTGTGCTCGAGAGAATGTAGTGTTGTTAGCCTAGCAACATGCTAATGTGAATCAACAGTGAAAAGGCAAGCTAAGCAGTAGAGATAGCAAGGCAGCAAGGTGTTTGGAAAATAGGTAATATCGTTCTGATTATGAAAATGGAGTCAGTGACTCCCTCTAGTACATTAGACATTTACTTACATTTACCAAATATATTAATAAAAGTAGTCTAAGTGAAGATGGACTATGTACTAAATAAGTGCAAACTATTTTTATGCTTGGTTAAATTAAGTTGTTAGCTTAGCAATATGCTAATTTTCCCCTTTTTTGTGTGAGATTGTTGCTGCCTATGTAGAGCTTTCGAATCAGCTTTTTAGGTTTTGGAACAGAGCTACAAATGAACTCAAAAACAGTCTATCTGGCACAGTCTATAGGCCTTTAACAGGGAACAAATAGACAGGACACACTTAGCCTGGTAATACAATTCTGTGAGATATTTTGGTCTGGGTGTGTAGGGAGAATTGTGTGGCAGGTGGACAGGATTTTTAAAAAGAGGTATATGAGACAGGATGAGGGACAAGACTAGACAGAAGGGCACAAGCGAGAGAAGAGAAACCTGTAAGTAAAGCCATATGTGCGTAATCTCGCACACTACAGCATAGTGACACGGGACAGAGAGAAACAGAGCGAGAACAAGAAATTGATTTCACATGCTGCCCTATAGCCACAACCTGGTGATCCAAAGTCCATGACCCATGGGAAGCTACATACTCATGTCGAATTCTCTCTCACTTTCTCTCTTAAAGGGACAGTTCACCTTAAAATTTATTTCCCGTCATCATTTTCTCACCCGCACCCAACTTCAATGCTTACGAGAAACACTATCATATGCTTACAGCTGAACGCAAAATCTTTCAAAGTATGCACCATTTGATAGCGTGCACTATTTCGATCTAGAAGCTTTGAGCGATATCCCTGAACCCCCTCACTCTAACATTCATCAATGTGGGGTTGTCTGTTGTTGTCGTTGCCGTCTTCGGTACTTCTTGTTCTATCACATTCGCTTTTTTACGACTGTGAACATCAGATCGGGCAATGTTGCCACCTTGTGGACCAACTAATAAGTGCAAGAAAATTCAAGGCGCATGTGCAAACTGAGTATTTAGAAAAATGCTTGCTGTGCACAATGTGCATTACTCATAGCTTAGCATGCGCATAAAAAGTATACTTTAGGCTTTATTTAGTGGAACACCAAAGAAGAAGTTAAGCCACTCTTTTCCTTACAACAAGTGAAAATTCATCCAAGGGATTTTTTTTCTTTGTTTTTTGTTTCTGTAGGACTTCAGTAGCCTCGGAGAACCCAGGCAACTTCCAGCAAATTTAGATTTGCTCTGAAAGTTAGTCTGGCAAATAAGCTCAGTCAAGCCCATTTCCAATCCGTCGAAATCGCGGCACCGATCAGAAACGTTGGGGCGGGCTTCACACGATGACGACAGCGCTGGGATTTTGAAGCAGATTTTGTAGCCTACATTACAAAGATGGATGCTGCCGTCAAACATCACTAGTTCCAATCAGCTATCGCGTTTGTTTTAAGCGATTTGAACGTTTCCTTTTTGTTAAAAACTAAGCAAAGAAGAACACTCGGAGATGTTTGATGTTGCATACATCATCTCCTTCATCGCTCTGATTGGTTTTAGGTCTACCCGCGACATCCATTGGTGACGCCCCTCTTGAAATGATTTGTCTATGACGCTTTGCCAGACCATAACTCAGTTACAACTGAGAATGCTCTGGTTTTAACCTTTAACCAGGCTTGTACTATTATTTATGGTGTCTTTTTGCTGTTTGACATTCCCGAGGCCGTTTAAACCTGGTATTAAGATGCGTTTTGGTCGATCGGATCACAAGTAGACGACTTTCGACTACTTCCAGAGGTAGTTAAAAACGCATTAGACCGGATTGCTTTCGTAGTGTAAGTGCTCATGTGGTCAAATGTGTTCAAACAGCCACAAAACACTCTCCCCCGATTGTGATCTGACCGACCAAAACGTATCTTAATATCAGGTGTGTAAACAAGGCCCTAGTGACCATCGTCTTTGTTGTATAGAAAAGAGCATTTGGGAAACATCCACTGAAGACGAGTTTTGAATGACAAAGTTGAGCTCATGACAGAAGATTAATTGGGGGTGAACTGTTGCTTTAAACACCATTATTTCATAACCCCAGATTGAGCAAAGACTGCTCAGACATATTATCTAGGTCCAGGACAGTTGCATTTGTGCTGCATACCCTGAACTCTTCAAATTTGTCCCGTTCACGAAAAAAATCTGGGAAATTGTTAAAGGGGTGCTCAGACTTCTTCCGCATGACAGGCTTCACATGCTATGGCCTTGCCTGCTAAACGAAACACAGACGTGCCTGGACATGCAGAGACTCGCATTCGTCTCTCCAAAGTTTCGGGATTTCATGATCCATGACTTCAGTGACTAACTAATACAAATACCATCTCATGTTCCTGTTCCCCCCTTTCACAACTGCTTCTTTACTTCTCTTTCTACAGACTCCCTCTGGATTGCTGTTGACGCCCAGTCCTCTCCTGTCCTCCATTCATTTCTGGAGCAGCCTGAGTCCCGTAGCCCCTCTCAGCCCCGCCAGGCTACAAGGCCACAGTTCACTCTTTCAGGTACGCACAAAACATTCCCCTGTAAAAATAGGAATCTGAACGCGAGAATGTGGCCGTTCATTTATTTTGGTTTAGCATTGACATGCGAGCATGTTTTAGAAAGGGATTTGCTTGTGTTTTGCTAGCGTGCGTTTGGTGTCGTGTTTCAGTTTTCATGTGAGCGAGAGGGGAAATCCTGTGGATACTTCCTGTTCTGACCCGAGGGAGAGTGTGTAGGGAGGTGTGTGAGAGCGAGAGAAAAAGACAAAGCAAACTGTATATTTATGCTCATCTTGCTTTTTGAGGGGAGCGTTCCAGCCTTTACTGTAAACATCGCTAGGCAGCAGGAAACCATTATGGTAATCACAGCGACTGCTTGACTCTGCCTTTACAGGGATAGTGACAGTTCTTGATGTGCATTTTGTACTACCACACACACACACACACATACAGACAGATGCGTACACTCACTCCCCCACTCTCACTTCCTCCGTGGTCGGCTGTAGTGGGAGTTTTCTGGTTGGTCACATGACTGTCGTTCCTGACGTTATTGGCTGCGGTGTGGAAAACTCTTGCTGCTCATCTGTTTTTTTCCTTTTAAAATGCCATTTTTTATACCTGTAAAATAAAGAACAAAAAAAAAGATGCTTTTAAGATGTTTTCGAGTCACTCCGGGAAACGGATTTACTGTGCCTGTATTACTGTGAGTGTGTGTGTGTGTGTGTGTGTGTGTATTAGAGTTTGGAAATAAGCTACAGATGTTTCCGCTCTGCATTGGATATGGGGGAAAAACAGCTTCCTGTTAAAAAAGGGAGGGGGTGATAACTGAAAAAGACTCTGTCTGTGTGTATAGTCAGCTCTCACATAACAGGAAGTTCCTCTCCTAGCGCTACCATGATGCCTTATGACTACAAGTGTGTTTATGTGAACCACAAAGACAAGCTTTTTTTTGTGGGGAGAAAAATGTTTTAGGGAAGATATTTAGGAACTAAAAAAAAAAAAAACTCCAGTCATATTCATCTAAAAATCTAAAGTAATACTAAATAAAATGCTTTTTTTTGGTATTTCGAAGTTTTTGGTAAAATTATGAAGTCTAATTGTAACTTCACAATTTGTCGTACTGAATTTAACTTATAGTTCTAAAAATAATAATAAAATAATTTAATCATGAAATCATCACGATGCTAAAATTGGTCCCACAGGTTTACTTTTGTTTCTTTATACACACTGTAGAACACACACCTGGGCATTCCTTTATTAGGCTCAACCCAATAATATCAACATACAAACACTACTTACTAAATAAATACAAGGAAATGTCAAACCTCGAAGAAAAACAACATTTTAACGTTAGTTATAATGATGATAATAAAATATTGCCTATTAAAAACTACATGAACTTTTCTTAATAAGATTTGCCCATTAAGATGTGAACTTATTTGCCCCGGTCAAGTTACTATTCTCCATTAGACGGCACTTCCTGATACAATTATTTGCATTTGTTTTTTAAACACTAAGAAGCATTTGCGTCACAGTTACTATATGAACACATTGTGATTCAGTGTGTGTAGCATTACCTCAATGTTCTGTTTGCTTTCTGACTCTTTCACAGTTCCCCTCCCTGTTGAACGGGCCGCTCCCGGTACCCCTCCCGAACCTGGACTCCTCCTCCCTCCTCCTGTCCTCCAGCGCTCAGAAATCCTGATTTCTGGACAATTCTTATATCCAACCCCCCAGAGTTAAACCTTTACTCTCACACTAAGAAGGAATTAAGGACCTTCATGTCATTTTTTTTGAGCCAGACTGCACTTCACCCTCTTGTGGCCACCATCACCTATAGCACCCTTCAGTTCTGTTGAGTTTTGGACCAGCAAACTTTGTGTTTTCTTTTTCAACTCAGGCTGCAATCCAACAAGCTCACCAAATTCCTCCGCAAGCTTTTAAAATAGGGAATTATTATGAGCTAATGCCAAAGAACATGAAGTGTCCTTTTGAGAAGATGGTGAGTCATTGGAAATGGAGCCTTAGAGAATCTGTAGTCTCGTTTTATTGGAGAACATGTCTCTTCGACAGTCTCAAATCGAGACAAACGATGCTGGACGACAGGAAACACGTTCAAACCAGCGTAGACTTTCTGTTCCTCCTCAAAACATGATGCTTTCCAACAGTTCTCCATTCCCAAGGTGCTTCAACTGGAAAGATCTCCCGTTTTTGTCGACCAGTTCAGACTTCGAAGAAACATTTAAACCATATTAAAGGAATCTCGTTAGCATTTAAGTCTCTTTTTTTAGTTCTCTGAGGCTGTGAACCGGGTTTCTGTTTGATATTGTATGATATTGCGTTATATGCACTGTGCTTTAAATGTACTACCGGCTGTGCCTTTTGTGTATTTGTATTATTTTCCTGCTTAAATACATTTTGTAATAGACGAAATTCCATTTCAATATTGGAAAGAAAAGCTTTGTAATAGCTTCCGGTTATTTTTTTTTTCATTAATGAATTGATTAAAAAGTGTATTCTCGTATTGATTTTATATTTTTTTGCTTTTCAAGAGTCAAGAAAATGTGCCTTGTGTTTTATAAATAAAATCAAGCATTGAATGCGACTCGACATTCTCACGTCTGATCAAACACCTCGCACCATTTCAGGATGAAATACACACAAACACAAAGATAATAAACAGACGGAAGAGATTTCGCTGTAAGAAACAGACCATGTTTACTTCACTGATTAAGAGAAATAAATATCTGCAGTACAAAGAGTTAAACGGTCAATTCAGCCGACAGCAGGTGTTCTGAGAGCGTCGGAGGCGGAGCTTACAGGACAACACTCATCCCATGCGTCACGCAATCACGCACACACTCGCGCACGCATTCTCCAGAAACAATCGACTCCGGTTTTACAATATTAATTAACATCTGTCAGTTCAGAAAAAATTCAAACAGTCATTTAAAATCTGATATCTTCTGGGTTCTTCATGTTTATAAATGCTGGGAAAAGAAACATTGGTCCAACGCTGCTGTCAAAAACTCATTTTTTGTGTTGTCGTTACTTTTTCTTTTTATACACACAATATCTTTTTTTCTCTTCTGAATAAAATCAAGCACACATTTGAGACAGTCGGACTCCAACATGCCACTTTAAGATACCATAATTCACAGAAGAGTCAATATGTAACATTTAAAAAAAAAAAAAAAAAAATCTCTTAATACTGTTAATGAAACTAGCTCATCTTCATAGCCGTCACTTGCGTGGAGCAATGGGCTCTGTACAGTTACTGATCTCCATATTCACACATATACTAACACTTTCTCGCTCGATCGCACACTCGGAAGATTCAGAGGAGCTCTATTAATAGGAGAAAGTCATTTGCAAATGGTTTTGATGATGCATCAGGAGCTCCGACTGTAAAAGAAAGAAATCAAAAATCTTCAGTTCCGACAGGAAGTTTTCACTGTTAATGAACGAATGAATGCAAAAGAGGGGAAAGTTGGTTCTCAGTTCAAAATGGTGAGGTCACAAAGTTCCTGCTGGTCCAGTGTTTGCTTTTTCCACCCTCGTTTTGCAGCTTTCTGAAGCCCACCCGGTTGAGATGGTCCCTGATTGAGATGGCCGTTCACGTGACGCGGCCTTTGAGGAACATATCCACTCTTTTTTTTTTTTCTTGAAATGATGCTTTAAAACTTGAGGAATGAATATTTGGGAAGGAAAGGTTTTTTCAGGACGTCTTGCATGCTAGGAAAATCCAAAGCAAATTCAAAACACGCACTCCACCTCTGTAAAACCAACATAACAAACGGACAGCTGCGATATCAACAATCAAACAGAGTTTGAATTGTTCTAAAAAAACAAAAAACGTATTGACGTGGGACTGAAGTGTCCGGGACAACCAGGAGCGTCGCACGAGAGTGAGGAAGTTACGAAGAGACAGTAGTCAATTAGCAGCAAAACAACTCCTCTGTCAATAAATATATACATGTTCACACACCCTAAGCGTCACACGGGGAAGGGCGTCCAGACGAGGGGCCGATGGGCGTTCTGGCTCAAGGCTGCATGCTGGAGGCGGGACACTGGGAGAGGGGAGGGGGAGGGGAGCAGCGGGATCAACCCATTCCCCTTCACCACGCATGCACACGCAACAAACACCCTCTCTCAGAGAGCGAGGGGGACTAGTCAGTTAGTCTATACAACACAGACACGGAATAAGAGCCATCGACCTGATCCGTCCAGTGTGTGTGTGTGTGTTTGTGTGTGTGCTTGTGTGAGAGTGTGTGTTTGTGATGGCCAGGAGTGTAAGGGAACGCAGCTTAAAACAGCATGCTCTGCCGCCTGTTCTTGCTGTTTCCTGTAAGGGGAGAGACAGAAAGAAGAGAATGAAGAGGAGGAGAGAACAAAGTGTACAAAGTTAAATGAATTCTAAAAACAATAATTAGTAATTAAAAAAAAAGTATATAGTTACACCCACAACATTACATATATCTATATATCTATATATATATTTATTTAATTTATTTAATTTTCATATATAATTCATTTAAAATGTATGCAGTTATATTAGTTACATTATTAGAAGAGAACAGGGCATACAAGGTTACAAAATAATTATAAAATCACAAATGCATAAATAACTAGTTATACAATAATTTATAAAAATATAATTTAAAATGTGATTTAAATTCTGCATTACACATACACGTGTACAATGTGTGTATGTATGTATATATATGTGTATATATTAATATGCGTAAAAATATATACAAACACACAAAATTTTAAATATATATATACTATATATTTTCGGATGTATATATATATATATATATGCTATACATTTAATTAATTAATTTATAAAACATTTAAAATATATATATTTAAAGTTAGAATTCATTTTGATTTTTTTTTTGTACAAAAAATTTAATAAAATTATTTCATTCAATAGTTATAGCTTAACTGCAAGAGGCACAGGTTATCAGTTAATTGCTCATTTTAAAAAAATCACCCAAAATCATCCCCATTAATTGACCTGGTCAATATCTATTGGTCTCTTACGAACAGTGCCCCATAGTGTCAGTTCCAGAAACTACTTACACAAATGCCTGAGTATTACCCATTCTGGTTGACAACTAATAATAAAGAGTTTCTGAATACGTATGCAGAGCACAGATCAAGCAAACTCATACCTGTCTCTGGGTACGAGGAGTTCCGGTAACCGGGGTCCCTCTGAAGCTGCACTTCCTTCAGTGTAAATATAGATATGTCTGCAGAACCACAGCACATCATGAGAATGAGTGACATATGAGTGACCAGTGTGCGTGTACGATCATGCAGTGGTACATGAGCAGTGGTGTGTGTGTGTGTATGTAAGGGCACTCACTCTCTGGCAGTGTTTGCACACGCATGCCTAGACTCTTGAAATAGGGTTGTTTCATCGATTCATCTGCAGAGATCCTCTTCTTGGACTCATACTATGGAGAAAACCAAAATAAACGAGGATGGCTCTGTCAGACTGATAAAGGGTTTTTATTTTATTAACAGCATTTAAAATGTAGTTAAATCTGTGTGCAAAATAAATAAATATTAATAATTATCACTGTTACTATAACTACTGAGAGTACACATCTTTAACAATGAATAGCTCTGAATTATTATTTTTTATATGTCACAGAGACTTATAATTGTTTGATATAAGTGAAGGCCTTTATTTGATGCAATCCATAGATCTGGCACATTCTTACCCTTAGAAAGGACAATAACAACTCTATTCCTTCAGTATCCAACCTGAGAGAGAGGGAGAGAGAGAGATGTGACCATCGCCAGGTTGACAAATCAGACGGGCAAACGAAAGGAAGGAAGCAAACGGCCTCAGAAATTCCAGAGGAAATCCTGCTTTACTGGCACGCACACGGATTTCTAACACACACCAGAACATACACAAACTTTCCCACAGCAGCATCAGCACACTCACACACAGGCTTTGAGGTCATGGTCATTTGCTCTGTGTGGCAAGACAAACACACTGAAGCCACAGCACAGTCGCTGAGTACACAAACTCACAACAAACACACTGTATGAAACAGTAAATGCAGCACCTGTACACACACACACACACACAGAGATACAGATACAATGGTACCTGGGTGCATGATTGATGAAGGGCTGAGGCTTGTATTTGGGGAAGTTGTAGGATTTGAACTCTTCGATGGATGAGATGCTGGGCCAGCTGTCCTCTGTAGGTGTACCTGATCACACAAAGCCAAAACAACACTTTTTACTTTAAACCTAGCCTGCACTACTTGCAAAACATGGTCAACACTTTCTAGTACTGATATTTATGTTGCTGTGGCCAATAATTGATATGATGGCCAAAAAAGTTAGTGTGTGTATCTGAGTAAGTGAGTGCGTGTGTGAGTATGCGTGTGTTTGCATGTGTTGAGAGTGAGTGAGCGCAGAGTTTATATATTATAAAAAAGATATATGGCTGTTAAAAACTATTTCCACACCGAGATGAGCAGTGGAGCGCGTCAGGTGAGAGTCAGCTGGACAGTATTTCAGCTGAACTGAGGTAACCTACCATGTGATCTCACAGTTTCCATGTGTGTAAAGCAGGTGAGAAGCACTTCTGAGTCTCAGCACTATGACACGTCTGGTAAAAGTGAGTGTGTGTGTGGGTTTAGTGTCGTAATGTCTGGAGTTGAAGTGTGCGTTTCATCACACAGGCTCTGAATTGAATCATTTAGTTGGAGAGCTGGCACGAGTGTGAGTGTGTGTGTGTGTGTGTGTGTGTGTGTGTGTGTTTCTGCTTACCAAGTAATCGGAAGATTAGATGCAGTTCGTCTTCAACGGTGGATCCTGGGAACAGCGGCCGACCTGCAGCCATTTCATAAAATATACATCCAACACCCCTGAGACCAAGATCAAGAGAGAGGATAAGACAGAGCAACCGTCTGCAGGAGAAGAACGCTGAATGCTGAATGTAAATGAGCATAGCAACATACACAGACACACACACACACACACACTACCCACCACATATCGATCTGTGTGGAATACTCTGAGGATCCCAGCAAAACATCAGGAGGTCTATACCATAAGGTCACCACCTCATTAGAGTATGTCTTTGTGGGAACAGACTTGGCTCGTGCTAGACCTACAAATACACACAAACAAAGAGCAATAAATATTATTTTCCTTAAACATATATATATAAAATATACAAATATATATATATATATATATATATATACAAATATATATATATAAAAATATACAAATATATATATATATATATATGTATACAAATATATATATATATATATATATATATATATAAATGAAATGTACAAAAGTTTACCAATAAACAAAAAAATTTACAAAAAAATAAGAATACCATAAAAATGTACAAGTAAAAAAATGTATATTATACTTATTTTATAATATTAAACAAACTGTAACACATAGTGTGTGTGTGTATATACTGTATAAATATATATATAATAAAAATGTATGCTTATATATATATATATATATATATACAGTATATATATTAAATAAAACATACATATATGATTGTGTGTGTGTGTATATATACACTGCAACATAATGGCA